CGAGTGCCACCAGTTCCAGAGGCCCAGCGGCCTGGGGAAACTGGGGGCCAGAGTGCCAGGAGCTGAGGGCATAGAAGAGGATTCCCAACAGACCCTGAGAAAGCCTGAGAATAACACTCAAAACACTTGAAACACAGAAATATAGGAAAATGACAAAACGAAAGACCAAATTACAATCTCAAACCTCCAGCCCATCCCAAGAAACTTTAGGAGTGATGTATATAGAAGAAAATATATGCCATACACCTCAAATATTGGACATAATAGCAACTGAAATAAACAAGCAACTCCAGGAAGCTTTAAAGGAATTCAAACTAGAAATAATCTCCCAGGTAAAAGAAGAAATGATAAAAGAAATGAAAGAGATACTGAATATATCTAAAGAAAACACAGTTAAAAAATTGGAGGAACTAAACAAAGAGAATCCTTAGATGAGCACTACAAGAAATAAACAGAATACATAAAGCAGATACACAGACATATAAGAAATCAAAAATTCCACTGAAATCTGTAAACACCACCTCAGTGAAAGTGAAGATAGAATTTCAGACTTTGAAGACAAGATGGCAGCTAGTGAACAGGAAAGAAAAGATCTTTTAAAAATAACAAAGAATCAGGAAATAACAATTCAACAAGTGCAAGATGACACAAAGAAAAACAACATAAGATTGATAGGGATTAATGAAAAAGACGGGGATGACATAAAGGACGTCAAGAGGATATTTAGAGAAGTAATAGCTGAAAATTTCCCAAACATGAGATTGGAAACTGACATCAGGATCAGTGAAGCATATAGAACTCCAAATAGTCATAACCAAAATAAAACTACACCCAGACATATAATGATCACCATCCCAGAAATCCAACACAAGAATAGATTATTAAAAGCTGTCAGAGAGAAAAGACAGATCACTTATAAAGGAAAGCCTATCAGAATCACAGCAGACTTCTCAGCACAAACAATAAAGTCAAGAAGAGCATGGAGTGAAGTATTCCAGATCCTAAAGCAAAATGATTTCCAACCTAGACTGATGTACCCTGAAAAACTGTGCTGTAAAATCGATGGTGAAATAAGATACTTACATGACAAAGAACAGCTGAAGAACTTCATGATCACCAAGGAAACCCTGCAAAAAATATTGAAAGATAGTTTAGATACGCTTAGGAAAAAAACACTAAGCAAAGCAGATAATTACACAGAACAGAAAGATAAAGATGCAACAGCAGAAAGATAACATGTCAACAATAAAGCAACATATAATGGTTATAACCATGTAAATGGTCTCAATGCACCAATCAAAAGAAACAGACTGGCAGAATGAATCAAGAAACAAAATCCAGCCATATGCTATCTACAAGAAACCCACCTAACTCAAAAGGATACTCACAGACTGAAAGTCAAAGGATGGAAAACAATACTTCACGCAACAGGAACCCTAAAAAAAAGCAGGAGTAGCCATTCTGTTTGCAGACAATGTGAACTTTAAACCAATAATGATCAGAAGAGACAAAGAAGGTCACTACATACTCGTTAGGGGAAAACTTCAAGAGGAAGAGATAACTATCTTAAATATATATGCGTCAAATTCCAGAGCACCCAGTTATATAAAACAAGTATTAACAGAAATAAAAAATCAAATTATCAGTAACACAAGTGTAACAGGAATCTCAACACACCATTGACATCAAAGGAGAGATCAACCAGACAGAAAATCAGGAAGGAAAGAACAGAACTGAATCACACATGTGAACAAATGGACTTGATAGACATATATAGAGTGTTCCATCCAACAACATCAGAATACACATTCTTCTCAGCAGTACATGGATCATTCTATGAAATACACCATATATTAGCTCATAGAACATATTTAAATAAATGCAAAAGAGTTGAAATTATCCCTTGCATGTTATCGGATCATAGCACTTTGAAATTAGAAATTAATGATAAGAGATACTGCAAAAATCCCACAAACAAATAGAAACTGAATAACACACTCTTGAGTAATCAGTGGGTCACAGGGGAAATTAAAGAAGAAATTAAACAATACCTACAAGAAAATGAAAATACAAATACAACTTACCAGAATCTGTAGGATGCAATGAAAGCTGTTCTCAAAGGAAAATTTATTGCACTGAGTTCCCACATCAGGAAAACAGAACGAATACAAATAAATAACCTGATGCTACACCTCAAACAGCTAGAAAAAGAAGAGCAAGTCAAGCCCAAAGCCAAAAGAAGAGAGGAAATTATAAAAATCAGAGCAGAAATCCATGCAATAGAGACTAAGAAAATAATCCAAAGAATCAACGAATCAAAGAGTTGATTCTTTGAAAGAATAAAAAGCTCCTAGCCAACCTTATTTAAAAAAGGGAAGAAAAAAGTCAAATTCATGTAATAAGTAATGAAAAAGGTGAAATCATTACAGACTCTATAGAAATACAGAAGATCATCAACACCTATTTCAAAAACCTCTACTCTCAAAGGTTTGATAACACAGAAGAAATAGACAGATTCCTAGAAGCACATGAAGTACTAAAGCTAGGTCAAGAGGATGTAAAACTGCTGAATAACCCAATTTCTATTAATGAAATTGAAAATGTAATTAAGTCCTTTCCTACAAAGAAGAGCCCAGGCCCAGACGGATTCATTGCAGAATTCTACAAGAAATACAAAGAAGACCTAATGCCCAACACTCAAACTCTTCAATGAAACTGAAAGGGAAGCAATCCTTCCTAAGTCATTCCTGGAAGCAAATATTACTCTAGTACCAAAACCTGAGAAAGACCCAACTAAAAAAGAGAACTATAGACCAATCTCCCTAATGAACACAGATGCAAAAATCCTCAATAAAATATTGGCAAATAGGATGCAGCAAATCATCAAGATTATACAACATGACCCAGTGAGATTCATCCCAGGCATGCAGGGATGGTTCAACATACGTAAATCAATAAATGTAATCCACCATATCAGTAAAGCCAAAAGTAAGAATCACATGATCATTTCTATAGATGCAGAAAAAGCTTTCGATAAGGTCCAACATTCATTCATGATAAGAACTTTACAGAAAATTGGAATAGATGGTCTTTACCTCAATATAATAAAGTCCATCTACGACAAACCAACAGCCAGTATCATACTAAGTGGCCAAAAACTGAAGGCCTTTACTTTAAAATCAGACAAGACAATGATGTCCTTTATCACCACTCCTATTTAATATAGTACTGGAATACTAGCCAGAGCAATTAGACAAGAAAGAGAAATAAAAGGGGTAAAGATAGAAAAATAAGTTAAATTATCATTGTTTGCAGATGACATGATACTCTACATAGAAGACCCCCTAAACTTCATTGAAAGACTCTTAGATATAATAAATAAATTCAGTAACGTAGCTGGATACAAAATCAATACTCAAAAATCAATAGCATTCCTATACACTAACAACAGAATCACAGAGAGAGAAATAAGAGAAGCTACAACCTTTACACTAGCAACCAAAAAAATGCAATATTTAGGAATTACTCTTTCAAAAGAAGTGAAAGACCTATACAGGGAAAATTATAGTACACTGAAAAAAGAAATTGAAGATGATCTCAGAAAATGGAAAGACATCCCATGTTCATGGATAGGAAGAATAAATATTGTGAAAATGGCCATTCTCCCAAAACTCTTATACAGATTCAATGCAATCCCAGTAAAAACATCATCAACATACCTCATAGATCTAGAGAAATCACTCCTAAAATTCATCTGGAGCGAGAAGAGACCTAAAATAGCAAAGACAGTTCTAAGCAACAAAGGCAAGGCAGGAGGCATCACAATCCCTGACTTGAAGTTATACTGCAAAGCAACCATAGTAAAATCAACATGGTATTGGAATCAAAACAGAGCCAAAGATCAATGGAATAGATTAGAAGATACAACCACAACTACAAACACACTCAACCACCTCATCTTTGATAAAGGGGCCAAACAGGTTCACTGGAAGAATGACAGTCTGTTTAATAAACGGTGTTGGAAAAACTGGCTCTCCATATGTCAAAAACTAAACCTAGACACATGCCTGTCACCATATACTAAATTAAAATCTAAATGGATCAAAGATCTGAATATTAAAACAGAAACACTAAATCTATTGGAAGAGAAATTGGGTAGAAACCTTGAAGACATAGGGGTAGGTAGAGAATTCATGAACAGGACTCAAACCGCACAGGAAATACTTCCCAGAATCAATAACTGGGACCACCTCTTATTAAAAAGTTTCTGCACGTCAAAAGAAATCTCCAGCATAGTGAAAAGAAAACCCACAAACTGGGAAAAAATCTTATTCCACTCTCCCTAAGACAAGGGACTTTTGTCTAAAACATATAAATAATTAAAAAATAATTAGACCCCCAAAATTCAAAGATCCAATCCAAAAGTGGGCATGAGAGATGAATACATACTTCTCAGATGAAGAAATACAAATGGCAAATAAATACATGAAAAATGTTCATCATCATTGGTCATTATAGAAATGCAAATTAAAACCACACTGAGATACCATCTCACTCCTGAAAGAATGGCCAGGATCAAGAAAACCAACAACAACAAATGCTGGAGAGGCTGTGGGGAAAAAGGAACTCTCCTACACTGTTGGTGGGAGTGTAGACTGGTACAACCTTTGTGGAGGTCAGTCTGGAGATTTCTCAAAAAGCTGGGATTGGAAGTCCCATTTGTTCCAGCTATTCCACTTCTAGGCATATTCCCAGAAGAACTGAAAGCATCATTCCACAGTGATATATGTGCACCTATGTTTATAGCAGCACAATTTGTAATCGCCAGATCTTGGAAACAACCCAAGTGTCTATCAACTGAGGAATGGATTAAAAAGTTGTGGTATTTTTATACAGTGGAGCACTGCTCAGCTTATAAATAAATGGACGCAGCTTGATACCAGTTAGGGCACTTGAGCAATTTAGGGAGACCCTGTCTCAACATAAGAAATAAAAAAAACGCTTGAGCAGGCAGCTTGTGAAGGTCGAAGGTTTAGTCCTGTTTATTGGGCCAGGAGTCTGGCAGGCAGGACCCAAGGATGTCACTCCCTGTCCACTCTCCCCAGCCAGGTGATCTGGGACTGTGCTTGTTGCTTTGTGGTCTTGAACGGGCATCCAGGGACCCAAACAGGCTACGGTGTCAGCCCCGCATTGAAGTTCCAGCCAGGCCCTGCAGTGTGATCACACTTAGAGAACAGGAAAGGCAGAGCTCTGCAGCCCTGGGGCTGCCCGACCAGGTGTGGGCGGCTCAGGGGTAGAGCCCTCGCGACCCACGCAGGGTTTTCTCTGCGCCCCGCGGGCTCCAGGCAGGTGCATCTGCAAGAGAAAAAGCCGCAGCTGGGGAGCCTGGCACAGCGAGAGAGGCCGAGGCCCTGCATCTCTGTGCGGATCCCGGGAACACCAGGCCACCCGCTCCTCCTGCCCCGTGCCGCCCTGCAATAGAGGAAGCGAGGCGCAGGTAGGGCGCTGCTGCATGATTCCCCTTATGCGAGGAACCAGCCTCTGAGCTCAGAGTGAGGTGTAGGAGAGGCCAGTAGGAAAGAGAAGTGGCTTCTGGAGTTGGGGAAAGGAATCCAGAGGACAGAAGGACAGGGCTAGGGAGAAGGGTTTAAGGACCAAAACACGACTATGTCTGTATCACTAATTCCCCCCAAAAACATACAGTTGCCAGGCGTGGTGACACAAACCTGTAATCCCAGCACTCAGGAGGCCGAGGCAGGAGAATCGCTAGAATCAGTGTAGGCTTCATAGTGAGTTCAAGGCCAGTTCGAACTACACAGTGAGACCCTGTCTGAAAGACAAAACAAAGTACAAATAAAACAGGAAGAAAAATGTAAGTAGGAAAGAAGGAAGAGGAGGACCTGCGGAGAGTGCAGGCAGGAGCCTGCGAAATCCAGGACCTTTTGGGGTCTCCGGCAGGGAGCCAGCGCGGCAGGGAACTGAGCCGGCTGGGGTAGGTGTCAGGCTTTGCTTCCTCTCCTTCTAGTCACACCCTAATCCCCAGTTAGGACGTGGCCTACTAGGACCGGGAAGCCTTTTGTAGTGGCACATGCCTGTCACCCCAGTACTCCGTGGGCTGAGGCAGGAGGATCCCTGGGAGCTCAAGGCCAACCTGTGCTACCAGGTTTGCCAGCGAAGATTCCTGGTGAGAAAGTTCAACCGAGAAACAGAATCCGGAGGTCCCGACCGGTCCCCGGGGCTGCCGAAGGGAACCCCGCAGACTTCCCATGGTGGGGGTCCACCGAGTCCCCGCGGAACCCTCGGGGTGCAGGAAGTCGGGGTCCGCACAACGACGCAAAACGACCAAGCTGTCGTTGGGGTCAAAGACGTGGAACCCAAGGGGACCCGCGCAGCCTGCACCAGGGCCAGCGGCAACTCATCCTGGCGACCGACCCCAGGGCCCCAGCGAGGCCGCAGCGGGTCGCACCTCCCAGGCGCGAACCTCCCGGCACGCTGCAGCGAGACCCGGCGGGCCGGTGCCGCCCCCTGCTGGCCGTTTGGGGAAGTCCCGCCGCCGCTGAGGCTGGATCTCTTGGTGAAGAGTGGGGGCGAGTGATTTTCTTTCTCCTTGTGTTTTTGTACAATCGGTCTTGCCCCCAGCACTTGTGAGCTCAGCAGTGGCAGTGACATCGCTGGCAGTTGTAACAGAAGCAGTTTCCGAAGCCCACCGCTGGGTGATTTTGCATTTAGCTGCGTGGCACCAGGAAACCCCACAAACCTTGCTTTTCCTAAAATGGCGTGGTTCCGGGGAAGTGGCTTGAGACGTCTGGCCCCCGAGTTCTCGTCGCAGTGCAGCCACTTGCTCGGGGCCTTTGGTCGGGTCCCTAAAGGCTCTGCGCCTCCTTTTTCTCTGCTGTAAAGGGAGGCCACTAGCAGGGCTTCGCCAGCGCTGCGGCCCTGGGCGCCGCGTCTAAGGCTGACCTGGCTGGGGACGGTGCCTGCGTCCCCTCCGGGTCACCGCTCCTCCCCCTGCCCCAAGGAAGGGTCCCTGCCACTTATCCTCGTCTACGGGTGTGTCCGCGAGGGGGCGCTCCCGGGACACACCCCAGGGACACATGGATGAAGAGTTTTCTCTTTCTTTCTTCCTGCTTTTTTGTTATTTGCTGAATAGCTTCCAATGGGGCACATTTTTGTCTGTCTGTCTGTTTTTGTTTTTCGTCTTTTTGAGACAGGGTCTCACTATGCAGTTCAGGCTGGCCTTGAGCTCACTTGGTAGCCCAGGTTGGTCTGGAACTCGCTATGTTTACTGCTTCAGCCTCCCTAGTGCTGGGATTACAGGCGTGCGCCACCACACCCGGCCACACATCTTTATGTATGAAAATAAGGAGAAGTTTGTTGCCGGAGCCTGTTTCAGTCTAGCAGTAGAGAAATCCTGTACAAAACAAACACCTTTGTAATCCCCAAATCATCCATCTCGCAAAGAAATGTACTCTTTTTCAAATTACTTTTGTTTGATAATTGTGAAAATTGCAATTTTTGTTGTTTTAATCAATTGTATGGTATTCATTTAATTATATACTAACCTAAATTAAAGAAATTTATGACCTGATGACCACAAGAAGTTGAAAATATTTAAAGGTACACATATATAAGCATTATATACACTTATGTTTATAAATATGATTATGTGGCAGGAGGATGATGAGATTTAAGTGAAAGATCTTAGAGCATATATTAAATTAGGAAAAATCTGTTGGGGTCGTAGGGGTTAAGGGCCAGGGATTTAGCCCAGCAGACAAGCACTTGCCTGGTAAGTGTGAAGTTCTGAGTTTGATCCCGATTATATATATATATATATATATATATATATATATATATATTAAATTGAAGGAGACAGAGAACAAGCTACACTGCCGCACTACTCTTGAGGAGCTTGTTTGTCTGCCTGTAAGTAGGGAGTTGAATCACTGGGGTATTAGATTCTACCAGATACTTTTAAAAGTAATCGAAGCAAATGCATAGAGACACATACCTGTAATCCCAGCACACTGGAGGCTGAGACAGGAGAATCACTGTGTAGTGAGTTCAAGACCAGCTTGAACTGCATAATGAGATCCTGTCTCAAAAAAAAGTGAACAAAACATTTAATTTGGAATTTTTAATATCTATAATATGGAAAAAATTATGTCCTTTGAAATGATTTCAACTTAGAGTGAAAATGGTTTTTAAAATGTTGCAACCTTAAAAGGCATATGGAACCTGGGCGTGGAGACACATGCCTATAATCCCAGGACTCAGGAGGCTGAGGCAGGAGGATTGCTGTGAATTCAAGGCCAGTTTGCACTACATAGAGAGATCCTGTCTCAAAAAACCAAAATAATCATAATAAGCACATGAGGAGGACACAGTTATTTTTAGAACTTTTCAGGGCATATATGGTTTAAAAGTTTCAGTCACCACCATTATTAAGATCTCTTGAAAAGTAGTTTTGAAAATCTACAAGGCAAGGAATGCACCATGAATAGGATGATCCTGTGACAGCTTTTCCATAAATGTTTATTTGCATGTGGGTGAACTAACGTGAGGAATGAGCTTGTAGTTTCATCACTCAGGAGGCTGAGACAGAAGAATCAAGAGTTTGAGGCCACACTTGGCTACATAGCAAGACCTTGCCTCAAAAATAAAGCCAAACGACTATGGCGACCGAAAGAAATTCAGGTGAATTAGGATAATTCTAGTGTGAGCGACCAAAATCTGGGTTAAACAGAAAAACAGAACATCACATCAAAGGTGGTGATGACTGCATCCATATACGGAGCTGGCATCTTTGGAAACACATTTCCCGCCAGCTCTTCTGGCTCCCCTTTCCTGCTTGATGCTCTCACTTCTGGGCAGATTTTCCCTTACGGAACAAGATGACTGCCAGTACCCTGGTCTTCCTTCCGGTTTAGCAAACCTGATGAGGGCAGACTGGGTCTTTCAACACGCTCAATGAAATGACGGAGGTGGAATCTCATTGGCTTGGCTGCCTATCCAAGAGCCAATGACTGTGGCCATGGAAATGGAATGGCCTGATTGGCTAGTTCAGGTCATGTGGCCTCCCTGAATGGGCCTTGGGTTGGCTTCATTCCTAATGAATTCATTCCTAATGGAGGAAGTGTTATTTCTTGTAAGAAACTGAGAAATGTAATAGAAGAGAAAAAGGACAGTGGAGATGTCAGAGCCATAGAAGACTTTTATATAACCTGTCAATCAGCAGATATTTGGCTGCCATCTGGGAAATCCAGATTCTGTGTCAACAGCATCTGCACAGTGTATCATACTCAGAGCGTGGAAATGAAGATGCATAAGGACACGTAGGATGTTCATTTTCTTTCATTCTTTCTTTTTTTAAAAACTGTGTCCAGATTTGGAAAGGCACTAATGAATTTAACAGTATTATTTTAAATATTTCAAAAGTGATGGGTATCCATATAATTAATTTGAAATATTTCAACAATATGTAATTTTATTACATTTAAAAAATTAGCTACGTAGAATGAATGGGTTTCATTTCCGCAGATTGGTAGGTCCATTAACATAGTTCGATTATTTTTACTTCCTGTCACTGTTTTACTCCTTCCTTAGGTGCACATTTAAGGGGTTCAGTGCATATATTTGGCTCACATTCATCCCCATAGGAGGCTTGTTTTCACTTGTGCAAAATCAAAACATCAAGTAAAACAGGTTATTGTCCTGTGGAGTGCTCCTGGCCATCAGGACAGGAAGGTTCAGAGGTCAGGGTTCAGCAGGTCAACTTGGCCCAGAGAAGGTTCTGGAAAAAGTTGAACTTGGGGTGGTAACTGATAGGATTATTTCCAAATGATGAGAAGTATAAAACAAAGGAGGCCTTTATCCTGAGAACACGGAGAGAGATAACCGGCACCCCCAAATGCTGGAGTCTGGCTTTCTCTCTGGCTGACACGTGGCGTGTGTATGTGTGTGTGTGTGTGTGGTGGTGGTGGTGGGGAGAATGTAAGTAGCCTCGGTTTGGGGTGGAACCTAAGGGGGCATCAGGGATGCACGGGTTGCTCATTGGTCCTAGGTTTGGCACCATAGGTAAATTCCCAGGGGCGGGGAAGATGATGTCACAGGTAAATTCCTAGGGGTGGGGGAGATAGGAGCTTCCTGGCTCCCGTTGAGGCTTTCCTGGCTACAGAGTCCTGTCTGGGCCAAAACCCTTTCAGTAATGAAGGACTGAGGAGGCTCTGGAGAGAAGAGGCAAGAAGAAGCAGAGTGGTCCCAGGAATGAGAAGCAGGGAGTCTACAGGGAAGTCATTGTTTTGGGGAGCGTACACTTCATTGGTGGACCTCTGAGAGGACAGGGATGGGGTGTGTGGGGAGGGTCCATGTGGGGAGAGATGCAGGATGGGTCGTGGACCAGTCATCCTCAACTTGGGACAACTCTGAGGAACTCGGCTGTGGCACAATGGGACTATGGAAACAGAAGTTTTGACTGCCCGAGGCTGCACAGTGGGCAGGTGCTGGAGCAGGCCTTGGCCCAGGGCATCCGACTCCAGGGTTGGCCTTCAGAGCCTCCATGCTGTACTGCCTGCCACCATCTTGGATGCTGGTAGGGTGATGAAAGTGTAGTCTGGTCAAAGCCTGGCAGCCCTCAGCCACAGGCAGACAGGGAGCTGTGAGGAGCTGAGCTAGGTTCAAGCACCCCTGACACACCAGCCCCAGCCCAGTGCCCTGCCTGCCCCCCACCCTGGGTGTGGCAGAGACATTGACAAAATTTCAACCCCGCCTGCTCAGCCCAGCCACAGCCTCAGAGATGAGAAAGCAGACTGGTTGGCAACTGGGTTGGCCGGGTGAGACCAAGAGAGGAGGAAGGGAAGAAAAAAGACTGGAGCCAGTGGACAAAGTACCCAAGGGTTAAACAGGGTGGCCATGATCCAATGACATCACAGTGCATCTGGCTCAGAACCTTGGAAAACAAGCTCAGTGTTTGGGCTTAGAGCCCCCATGGGGCCTCACCTGGAGGTGGTTGTAAGTGGCCTGGGGGACCCTTCCCTGGCTGCCCACCCTCCCTGGAACCCCCTGGCGAGGCTTATTTTATCTTTTCTGATTGTGGTAAAATACACGCGCCATAAAATTTTACTGTTGTAACTGTTTTTAACTTAAGCTGCATTTGGCACATTCACATCCCTTGTAAATATCACGGGTCCCCAGAACTTTTTTTTAACTGTCCCAGACTAAAACTCTGTCTCCCCCTCTCTGAGCTCTTCACCCTCCTGAGCCTATAACTGTAAGGACACTGGTTTGGCAAGGCAATAACATCTCAGGTGTTGGCTTTTCTAGTCACCAGTACAGGTGACCGTGCATTTTAATCAGCATTTATTGGTGGAGTAGGGGTGAGAGGCTGCTGCCCAAGACACCAGTTGGATGGACTCTGAGTTTCTGCAAAGCATGTGAAACCCTTTAGAGCAGCTCCCTTATCTCTAGGATGATTTCAGACCACCAGAGGGTCTGCTTCATAATCTCAGTTTGATTGTTATCACTGCAGGAAAATTAGTTCACCAAGATAGGATGCAAGATAGGAAGTACAAATAGGCTTCTCCGTGCTTTTGTGGCAATCTCAGGATATTCCACAATGACTTTAATCCAGGATATGGATATTGAGATTGTGTCCAACAAATTTTGTTTTATTTTGTTTGTTTGTTTGTTTTGAGACAAGATCTCACTATATAGTTCAGGCTGACCATGAATTCACAGTGAGCCTCCTGCCTCAGCCTTCCAACTACTGGGATTACAGGTATGTAACACCAGGCCCAGTTGTCTCAAGAGTAGTTTTTTTAAATGGAAAAAAAGTAAAATAAAATTTCATAACAAAATAACAGAAAAATAACAATAGTTAATACATTGCACATCAAACATACTATCAAGGTCACTGTCATTTGTTGTCTCAAGTGTTTGATGCTCTTCTAGCACAGATTCACTTGGCTTACTCACAGGTGAGTCACAGATGCATTCCTTCCCAATTCTTTTGTCATTGGGAAATAATGC